GGAAAGGAAATAATGCCTTGCATATATAAAAAAAGAGAATCTAAGTGATTAATTCTGTAAGCAATAGCAAAACCCTTTAATGCAGGGTAAATGCCAGGGAAAGGCAATACGTGTTAGCATTACCACACACATTTTTCTTTTAAGAAAAGCAAGTCATATTTGGGCTTTGGAACCAGATGTTTACTCTGGAGCATGTGAACTGTGTTGGTAAAGGTAGAATCCATGCTGCCAATTAATGCATATTAGTATACGTGCCAGGCAGTTTATAGACGAGCACGCACCAGGCCAGTAACCAATGCAAGACCCCCTAGAAAACTTGCTCTAAGGGTTCTCGTGAAAAAACAAACAAACAAACAAACAAAATCTAAAGACAGACCCGTTCAAGAAGGCATGTGCCTGTTCTTTTGTCATTTCAGTCGGAAGTTGCTTTGACAAGGAGTCAATGCAACTTAAGATACTCAGCTGGCTAATGAAGATTTTAATCTTCATAGAAATGGGGACACAGGAATTTAGTAATTGTCACCCAGACAAAATTTAAATCAGATCACAGGTTATGAAGTTTGAGACAGACTGATAAAGGTCTGATGCTGATCTTTATGCCATCTTGGCCTGCAGGTTGCATCCCCTTCCCCACCACCACCCAGATTCATTGGTTGTAGCACTGAGCATGTTCAGTTGTGCAAACATCTCTTTCTACATTAATGGAGAGGTAGTAGAAAGGAATTAAAAGAAGATACCATGAAAATGGGATGAAATTAACTCAGTAACCATGAATGGAGAAATAAATAAATCATGTATTTTTCTCTAATTTTTTACAAGTAGAAACAGTTCCAACCAAAAAAATTACAAAGAAATACACACACAAAAGCGCCACTTTTTGTACCAAGGAAAATATTATTATTATTATATATCATAATATATATATATATATATATATAAACTGTACACCTATTTACACCATTCAAAAAGAGAAAGAAGGCGACTTGTTCACAGCTTCATGCTAAAAGGTTTGAGTTTTTTTTGTCTGTTTGTAGCATGGTTTCTTGCCTGTCCAAAGGAAGGAGTGCTAAGCCAAGGTGTCACAGTTGCCTGTTGTTAGCTTCTTAAACCTTTAGATCTCCTAACATTACACTGGCTTCCTCCCATTATCATAATGGACTGGATACAGAAGAAATCCTAGTTACTGCATCAGAACTCTTAAGGAAGAAGGGCCTGACTCTAAGGCAAAAAGAAACGGGATGCCCTAATTGCGCACATGTCTGAGTCACACGATTCACAGACATCAAGGCAGGCAGTCCCTGTACTTAAGACAGGAGCACCCTCCACAGCAGTGGCAAGAAGGCAGGACTGTTTGGAGTACATGCAGTAGGAGTCTGCCCTTCACAAAAGCTTTTGGGTGGGGGCGGGGAAAGGTACAGGCTTTGTTACTTGTTCTGTCTCTTGGCAGGGTGCAGAACACATGTTGAATGGCATGGCAGTTCTGCACAGGACAATGGGAAGTAAGGCCATGCAAGTATCCAGACCAAAAAAAACTGGAAGGACTCTGAGGGGGAGAAGAGGGGAAAAAAAAACAGCCACCCCAGGATGTTACTGAGATTCAAAGTGCAATGGCCCCTGGCAACTGTAAACTGTTATACAAGTAAAGATAATAATAAATCTGGTTATAATGGCTTAAATTCCCTGGTTTCCTGGCCAGCACAATCCTTCCTCTTTAGTCTCCCCAGCCATGTGGTTAGGGAGCCTGGACTTACAGTACAAAGGGTTAAACACTGAGCAGATGCAGCAACATCTGTCTGAACTCATTGGCTTGGATTTCTCTCCCCTGCCCCACACTTCCCCAAGCTGTCACATACCATATTGCAAAAGGAAGGGGAGGGGAAAGACAGACAGTGCAAAAAACAAAAACAAAAAACAAAAAAACCCCAAACCAAAACCACACATGGGTATAAAAATATACAAACCCTGAATGGAACCAAAAAAGTGCAAGGCAGGGAATGGGGGGGGAGGGGGAGCACACAGCTAGACGTTATAAACAGTTGAACAAGGTGATCGTTGCCGGCAAAAGCGAAGGTGCTGGCGACAGCTGCATGCTCCCAGTTGATTTGGCACAAGCCCTGTCCTGCTTCACCAATCCTGGCAGAACCATGACAGTTGTGCTTCTCCATTATTGTAACTGGGGAGGACAATTCTGGGCTCTTAAACCCGGTTGAGAGAGGTGGTTCTGACTATGCACGTGCACGCCCCACCCTCCAGGAGACAGGCAGATACTGAAGATGGGCGTTATGGCAGCAGAGATTTGGTGGTTAGAAGGTCCAGGCTGCATCTCAGCCTGCCACCCCATTGGTTAGTCCTATAGTGAATGACACATGCAAAAAGACTCCTCATCTACCCCCACCACAAAACCATAGTCCCAGTCCAGTACTGGAGACTCCCAGCCTTACATCCAGAGAAGGGCGTTATCTTCTTTCACTTTCCTCTCCTAATTTGTGTTTCTCCTTCACATGTAAGTTGTCCTCCCTTTCCCTGATATCAACGGAAGAGAAGTAGCAGGCACATTGTTGGGGATGTAGGGAGAGGGCGGGAGGTGGGGAGAATCAGCTGCATCCAGTGTTAAATATGAAACATAGAAAGGACCCCCAAGACAGTCAAACCTCATGCACATTCAGTTCCCAGCTGACTGGAGGGCTGGTTTTCTGTCAAAGAAGCAGAGGGACCCCATCAAGTTGCTCAGGCAGCAGTGTGGCACTGTGCATGGGCTGGACAGCTGATAAAGAAGGGGTAAAACAGGGGGGAAATAATTTGGGTGTTTCTTCTCCCGTTAAAGTGAGCAGCAACGTCTGACTAGAGGCACATCCTGGAGACTGTTCATGCAGCATCATCTTCCAAGCTTACCATCTGTCTCTGTTGAGGAAATAAGTTTATGTTACCACTGGTATGTCACCATTTTGCAGAGTCCTAAGCAGCATGGGACAGAAGAGAACCAGACACAAGCCTCTGACTACAGAGGGATCCTTTCAGGATGAAGGGAAATCCTCCTCAGCTATTGGAAAAACAGGCACTATGAGACAGTTGGGGTAGATGCTGTAGAGCAGGGGGTAGATGTGCCCAGGAGCTAGGCTTGGAGCCCAAGGAAGGAGTTCCTAGTTATACCAGGACTCAGAAGAGATACAACTTCTCCAAGAGAAGAGCACAACCAAATGTCCCTGGGAGCCTGTTCTGGGCCTAGACACCCCACCCCCATGGCCCTTCATACAACCCAGGCATTCCCCCCTCCCTCATCATCTGCATCATTTTGCATTGCAGGAGGGAATGGCAAACCCTGTGTAGCAGCCGCCTAGGAAGAACCCAATCCTATGGCTCCATGAACCACAGGCAGACACTGAGCTGTCTCACCGAGGGGTATGTGTAGCCATCCTGGCTCCGACAGATGTGAATCTCATCCTCTGTCGTCTTCTGATAGACCGGGTTGTCAAAGTTAATGCTGTTGGTGTTCTTGAGACGCCAGTTCTTCCACACCAAGAAAGCAGCGAAGGCAACCAAGCTAATGAGCACTGGGGGAGGAGGGAAGGTACAATGTTAATTTGGGCAGCTCACACACAACTTCCCTTCCACTTCCCACAAGTTGCTGGCAGTCTGCACTGACTCCATAGGGAAGCCCCATTTAACAACAGCTAGTTTGATGTCCCCCGTGGACTCCAAAGCCATGTCCCAACCCAGGGATAAATGCAGAAGATTGAGAGTGTCATTGACATGACAGACAAGGCCAGGAGAGACCAAGCAACTTAGATTAGACCAGTGAGAGTCTCAACCAGGGTGTCACAAACACCCTGGGGTGAACCAAGATCCTTTCAAGAGTGCTGCGGGGTACCACATGGTGTTAGTACCATTAGGCGTGCAAACATGATTCACAAGATAAGGCCATAGATTTCAAATAGAAATATACAGCTGTGGTCTTTCTGAGTTCTTTGCAACAGAACTGATATATTATTTCTTCTGTAGAATAAAAAGAAAGCCAAGACTGGCATTTTTCAGGGATGCCTCAAGTCTACCCAGGGTGTGTTGAGTCCAAGGTTGAAAAATCACGGAATTAGACCATAAACTAGAGCCCTCACTCCCCAGCAAACAAACCCAAGGTTCCCTCCCACCACCTCAGCTTTTGGAGAATGGGGGAGCTCTGGACTGCCAGTGTTTCATGACTGGCAGGGGTGGGGGGAGACATACCCAGAGGCAGGACAACAGAGAGTGCAGTGGGGCCACTCTTCTCCTGGTTGGTCTCTGCAGCAATACCGTTTTGCACTGGGGAGAGAAGGGAAGAAGCATATTAGCAGCTGTCAGACACCTGATGTGGGCAGGGGTATGCAACTGCTAGAAGAACCCAAGCATCCTGGGCTCCCTTGCCATAGGCACTAGACCATGTTTTAATATCTTGCTATAGAGCCACCTTCTGGGTAATCCTGTTCCACTTTTCCTGTGATGAAGGAAGAAGCTCTCTCACCTTGCTGGGACAGGGTGACCATCTCTGGTGTGGTAAGGCCAGGGAAGTCCCCAGCATGCTTGTTCTGCTGCCCGGTGGTGGCTGGAGATTGTCTTGTGGTCAGTTTTGGTGTGTTGGTTGTGGTTAGCAGCCGGGTCAGAGGCGTGGCCCTTACAGCAGGTCTCCCAGTTGTGGTGCTGGGCAAGGCGCTAGCAGCAGCAGGACCTGGGAGAAATGGACAAGAGGTTCAGACCCTTCTGCCTTATGCTAACAGTATGGTCACCCCCATTTCACTGGCCAAAAGCGATAATAGCTTATCCAAGCTGACAGTCAGTGAGACTGCTGGTGAGAACAGAACCCAGGAGTCCTGGTTCCCAGACTCCCACACCTCTCCCAGGACTAAAGAGAAACCAGGATTCCCAGCTCTTACACTGCTATTCAACACCTTCCCTGTCCAATCCAACTGTGCACTGAACAAAATATTCCATCCAGCCACACACACAAGGGAGAATTCCTACACAGCTCTGGCCTTTAGTTTGTTGAGTCTAGTACCTTGGGTACAGCTCCTCATGTCAGCAGCCAGGGGCATGCCATCTGGGCAGGCACATGTATACTTGGGTGAGTGGGCAGTGATCTGTGGGGCAGGTAGGCACAGGTATTCACAGCCGCCATTGGAGAGGCCATTCTTCTCACACCAGTTCTCCCCTGGGAGGACAAAAGCAGAGACATGAGCACCAGCAGTGACTAAGTAGGCAAAGGGCTGGTGTGGGAGGAAGCAGGTCATCAAGAAGGAAGAGTGATGATATCCCTATAGGACATCTCATTCACAAAGGAGGAGAGTTCACATCATACCTGCTGGCTGCTTCAGGTTATGGTACAGGACAATATCGTCAGGGGAAAACAAGCCCTCAGCCACAACTGTGATATCAGCTCCAGTCAAGCGGTTGGCACTGAAGATGGCTTCGTTCATGATGTCCGACCAGAAAACCTTATCCTGAAGAAAGTTAAACTGGTCTGTTAGCCCATGCAGACAACATCCACCAGGGAGTGAGCAACTGTTCTCAAGGAGACAAGAGCAAAAGCCCAGCTGCTATATAGGTGCAGAGCACAGAGCAGCCCATTCCCCTTCTCTAGCAAAGCTTCTTCTCCCCCAACCCCATGAGGAGACATCAAACATATCTATCCTGTCAGCCTGGTCCCCACACCTCAATAAGGATATAGAAGAACTAGAGAAGGTCCAAAAGAAGGGAAACACGGATGAGTAGTATGGAGGGACTTCCATGAGGCCTGATCCATGAGGGACTAATAAGGCCTGATCAGTTTAGAAAAGAAATGCTTGAAGGGGAAAAAAAAAAGAAGCATTTACAAAATACTAAATGGTGAAGAGAAAGTTGATAGGGATTTATTATTTATCATCTCTCACCATACAAGAGCTAGAGGGACACAACATGAAACTAGTAGGTAGTAAGCTTAACCAAAAAGGAAGTTTTTTCATCCAGCATGTAATTAACGTGTAGAACTCGTTGCCATTAGATGTGGTGGAAGCTGAGAGTTTAGCCAGATTCACAAAAGGGATTGGACAAATTATTGGAGAAGAGGCATCAGTAGCTATTGAGCACAGGATTGAGGGGCATGGCCTCCGAATCAGAATGTCCTAGACCTTAAATGCTGGAGGCAAGTGAGCCAACAGTGGACAAAAACCCTAGTCAGACCCAGTTTACTCTCCCTTTCAGCATCCACTCTCTGCTGCCAAAGAAGACTGGGCAAGGTAGACCTAGGGTCTGACCTAGTAAATGGCAATTCTTATATAGATGCAGACCAAGGGGCTCTACTGCCTATGAGGGAGAGTCACTCAACATTGCTACAGTTGCTGTCAACAAACAGCCCAGGCACAAACCACTAAGTCAACTCCTGGGAGGATTTTAGCAGGTCAGTCCTCAGATAACCATTTACTAGCAGTGCTCACCTCAAAGACTGTGACAGCAAAAGGGTGAACTACGTTTTTCTTATCCTCAAGGATGATCTTCCTGTTCCCACCATTTACATCGATGCTGGAGATGGAGTGAAACTTGGAGTCCACCCAATAGAGGCGCTGATGTATGAGATCTGAAGCAGAGAGGGGGCAAAAGTGAAGGCTATAGAGGAGCTGAGAGCAGAGGTTTAGCAGCAAAGTCAACAGGCTGATTGGGGATCCTAGCATCCAAAAATATCTGGTGCTACAGAAGGCACCACAATTACTTGTATACAGGTCTGAAATGTTTCAAGTCCAGTGCCCAAGAGTTCCAAAAGATCCCACTGAAACAGGCCACTGTTTCTAATCTATAATCTCTTCCTGTGCTATTGTCTAGGAGAGAAATTGCCACCCAAGATAGAGAGCACTTGAGATAAGGAGTCTGATATAGAAAAGCTCCCAATTAACTCTCACTTGAGGAGGATTTAGCTTTCAGCTTCTTGTTTTGAAAGTCTTTAGCCAAGATCATCCTTTGTTATACACCTGCCTCAACTGCAAATCATCACTTGTTCTCTGAATCTCGGGGTTCGTAATCTATAGGCAGGCCAGGCAGGGAAACTACATGGATGTGGTTTGCTTTGGAAGGGTAAACAGACCATGGGCCAATTCTCTTGTCTCAGCAACAGTCCCAAGGGGTGTGCCAAATCTTCTCTCATCACTTCTGCATCTGAATTTTGGCTCTAACTATGCAGGGCAGCAGGGGGACAGACACACACTCACTCATCTGGACTTACCCAGGGTTATTCCATTAGGCCACTCAATGCCTTCTTTCACCAAAGGGAAGTTGTCCACACCATTCAGGCCACTCTTTGCGATTTTAGGAGACTTCCCCCAGTCAGTCCAGTACATGAAGCTACCAGGAGAAAAAGGGAGGGACATAAGGGTAAGTAAGCAAGCCAGCTAGCATGCACTTGCCCAAAGCCCTTCAGCCTCAACAGGTCCATCTCCCTTCCACCCTAAAAGCCCTTCTGCTGCCGTGATACAACTTTAGAGACACATACCCATGAACTGGGTCGACCACAATGGCACGTGGTTTTGCGCCCTGCTCCTTGATGAGGATTCTTCTCTTGGAGCCCAATGTATTGGCTACAGAGACAGTCCCCAGCTCAGAGTCTGTCCAGTAGATGTTCTTATGGATCCAGTCAACTGCAAGTCCATCTGGGGCTTGGATGCCTGTACTGATCACAGTGGTGTGGTTGGTGCTGTTGTCAGCTTTGTCCATCTGGGCACTGGGTGGGAAAGCAGTGATTGGTTATCATGCAGCTGTGAGCCAGCTGTAAGCACCCCGAAGGAGGAGCTCAACTTTCAGGACACAGAAGCAACATTACTGTAGGCAAAGAGATTCACTGAGCCAGGCACTTGGCTGGTCTCAGTGAGATTCCACACAATGGAGTTTTACCAGTGTGTACCTGAGAATCTGGCTCAGTTTCAGTGTTGATAATGGCACCTGACTGGCAGCCCTGAAGACTCATTCTATGTATGCTGCAGCAGATACCAATAGCCTAGTACCCATGCCAAGCTAGCTCAGGACCCCTGGTAAAGCCAAGTCTACCTGAAGATTTTCTTGTGGTACATATCAGACCAGTAGAGCATATTCCTGGTGATTTCCATGTCCAAGGCCACAATGTGTTTCAAGTTGGACAACAGATGTGTGTATTCACTGCGGTCCAAAGTCATCTTCCGCACTTCCCTGCGGTTAGTGAAGAAGAGATAGGCGATGGTACCTAGTGGGGAGGACAAGAGGGGCTATTAGTCAGGTATGTTTCTTTTTGGCATCCTGCCCCCCACTCTAATCCATGCAAGCCTCTGCCTGGAGCCAGAGCCCTCATACAGACAGGTCTTGATTTGTGGAATGAGAATTGCAATCCAAATTCAAGCTGACCCCAAGTTTAATGGCTTTGGATTTGAGACCAATTCATGCCCAGACCCAAGCCCTTCTACTGTATTATAAAGGTGTAATTCACCAACACAGTTCCTGCACTAGATCCTCAGTTGGATTAAGTCAGCATAATTCTGACTTCTGCAAAAGATCTGCCTCAATCTAGAAGCCAAGGTAGATCTCTGATCCAGTCACAGAAAGTAAAATACACCAAGCTCCATTTGTAATGAAGGGCTGCAAGCCTGAGCTGGAGTTCTGCAACAGGAAATGTCTGACACCAAGATCCAGTTATGACAACAAAACTAATCAAAGAATGGCTATAACCACCTTCCCCTGGCTCCCCTCCCTCCCACAGATAAGGTCTGTCAGGCACTGCCATGCAATTAAGATCTTCTAGGCTGGATTCTCATTAATGAATGACAATGGTTTGCCTTAAGCAAACATCCTGCCCTTTCATTCAATGTGAATCACCACCTCATCCTGTAGGGAGTTCATCTGGACAGTTGCCTTAAACAAGGCTATTGAACTTCAGACCTGGGGTTACCCACAAGCAGTTATGAATAGTTCTGTGACTAGTTTCAGTGGCATATACTGGGATAACTCAATGCTGGAATAGGCTGGGTTTATCACTAGGAAGAGGAGAATCTCAGATGTCCAAGGATACACAGCATTTAGCTGTAACATTGACTGCTTACTACCTACTGACTTTTGCCTCCAAAAAAAGGAGTGACCACAAGCCCTGGGAGTTTCCAACTTACCTACTGCTTTGCAGGTCTTAGTAGAAGGGTCCATCTGGTATCCTTCATCACATTCACACTTGTAGCTTCCTTCCAGGTTCACACAGAGCTGGCTGCAGGTGTCGGGGTCCAGACATTCGTCAATATCTACAGCCCAAGAGGAAGATATTAAAAACCCACTAGGCAACATGGAAGACACAGTATCCCAGCACAGCTTTTACATAGGAAAAGACTTCAACATGGCTAAGAGCAGCCACATATGGCTGGTGCCAAAGATCATGTTCATTAATAGGATATCTGATGTGACGGGTACTCAAACTGTACTCAACAAGGGGAGCTAGCAACTTGCAAGCTGCTTGCCATTCACATCAGCCAGTGGCCTACACTTCATGCTGGATGTGGTAGTAGTCAGGAAAGGTGACATGCAAGGGGCTATGAACATCAACAGAGAACACCAATCTTCACTGCTGGGCAGAAACTCTCTGAACTGCAAGCACAGCACTGAAATACTAATGCTGTTAATAGGGAAGTCAGGGAACTCCACCATGGTAAAAATGGAGAGCAATAAAAACGCTGACCACAGCACAAGATACCAAGGTGGAAGTGGGTTTTAAACCATGCAGCGATTCAAGGGAGGCTGAGGTAAGGCATCTACCTTCACACTTTTTCCCATCGACCAGCTGGAAACCATCGGGACACAAACACTCGTACCCAATCTTGAGGTCTTTGCATATATGGGAGCAGTCACCTTTGCTGTCCAGGCATTCGTTCATATCTGGAGGGGAGACCATGGAGAGCATAAGCCAAATGCTTTGCCACGATGATAACATGACCAGCATCAGCACACTCAACTTGCTTTCTGTCACTAATGTCCCAATGCTCCCTACACACTTCTATACAGCCACATCCACCTGTTTCTGCAACACTAGTCTTCAGCCACTTTGTGAAATAATTGCTGCTCCTTCTCAGAACAACGAGGCAGATGTTCTCACCTAGGGTGGATACCTGTACTGTGACAGAGAGGTTGACTTGTGGCCAATGAGAGCTAGCCAAGGACAGTTTCCAAGCCCTAGCACTAAGACACTGAACAAAGCCAGCTGGGTTTCTCTGTGAAGTCCAGACAGAGGAAGAGACCTGCATGAAGATTTCCTATGCTTCTGGGCTTTGTTGGTTGCCTCTGCCCCCTCTTTTTTCTGTGTGTCAGGGTGTTTTTAAGCCTCCCTCAGGGAGGTGTTGGTGTTGGCTGCAGCCCAGGCTGGGGATGGTGACTGGGCTGTGCCAATGCTTCAGCTAGGACCAAAGCCGGAGGTTCCTCACTGGAAGGTCTGGACACTCCACTCAGTCAGACTGACTACCATATTTGGGGTCAGGAAGGAATTTTATCCCCTGGTCAGATTGGCATGGGGGGAGGGGGAAAGAGGTTCTGCCTCTCTCTGTAGCAGGGACACAGCCTCTACCAGGGGTCTCTCTCGAGCATATATTAACAGCCTTTTATATAAAGCAGGACATTGGCTACCATGGTTCCCTTGCTTCACCTGTGGCAGGTTCAGGAGTGATGTCTGGTACTGCACCAGGGGCGACAATAGTCTTACAAAAAGAGTTTAGATTATGCGTTGTATTGGATGGTTTGAATAGGTATGGTTCTACCTCGGGCAGGGGGTTGGATTAGGTGACCTCTGGAGGTCCCATCCAGCTCTGCTTCTGTGATCCACCTAACGGTTTCAGATGCATGAAGCTCTCTGTGCCCCCCCACCCCTTTTTGTACAAGGCAAAACAGAACAAGCTCTTACCACACTCCTTGATGGGCTCATCAGACCAATCCCTGCAGTCCCTCTGCCTGTCACATACTTTGTCCATAGAGATGCATTCCCCAGAGTGGCACTTGAACATGTTCACACCTTTGCAGGATGTCACTGCAAGAGAATGACCAAGCATCACACTGGGCTTCTCAGCACCCTGGCCTATTACTTCTCACTATTCAGCCTCCCCTGGAAGAGTGCACCATGCCTCCAGGGCTTGAGAGAGAGGTCATAGCCCAAAACTGAAACCATTTATCCCAAAACAATGTGCTCCCCACACCCTCTCCTTCAGCCACTGGACATTTAGCTGCTTGGATGAGCTCACTACAAGCCAACCCTGGCTTTGTAAAGCTCCAGGATATGGCAGGTTCTAGTCTATGCCCATGGTGCCTGCATTAAGTCCTCACCATTGTCACAGCCGACCTCGTCACTCAAGTCCTTGCAGTCATACTCCTTATCACACTGGCGACTCCCATGGATACAAGTCCCGTCGTTGCACTGAAATTCATCTGGGCGACATGTGGGCTTAGCTAGGGAGATGGAGAGGAGGGCAGAGATGCTCAGTGACAGCAACCAGGCCGGCTTAATTCCCCTGGTTCCATAAGGACGAGGAAATATTTCTCACTATGCAGGCAAAGCCAGTGTAGATTCCTTCCCAGCTTATTCCCTAAGATTTTTTGGTGGCTAGGGTTGAAACAAAATACCATGTTGCTCGTTTGCCTATGGGACTAAAAAGTAGAAGCCTATGCAACCCCCAAGGGCAGTCTCATCTGGTTTTAACAGGGGGGTTGAATTTGGTATCAGATCCACTAACTCTCATTCCACCCCTCTAGCCAAATACAGCAGAGGCAGTGGTAAGGCCAGCTGCCCCCACCATGCTCCAGATGGAGCATGGGCTTAGAACAATTTCACGACAGAGCCTTCTGGGATAGATAGGTTTTCAATCCAGCTCCAGTTTTTCCAGGCCTCTGAGCATTGCTTAAGCTATCTGCTCACTTCATCCAAGCCACTGGCCAGCCATCGAGTAGTACAGACACCAGCCAACCCCAGTCTTCCTCTAGTGTTACAGGGAAGGGAGAGAGGGAGGGGTTGAACATACCACAGTTGGCCTCATCCGACTTGTCCCTGCAGTCAAAGCTGCCGTCACATTGCCACCGCATGTGGATGCACTCCCCGCTCCCACAGCGAAATGCCAATGGGAAGCACGTGTCAACTGCCTTTGTCGTTGCCCGCTGTCCACAGTACTGGGGCCACTCGTCAGAGCCATCAGGGCAATCAGGGTCATCATCACAAGCCCACAGCTTGGGGATGCACAGGGAGCTGTTGCAGCGGAACATCTCAGGATTGCAGGTTGGGGTGGGGCAATCAGCCTCATCACTCCCATCCTCGCAGTCATGCTCTTCATCACAGACAAAATCCAAGGAGACGCACTTCCCATTCCGGCACTGGAACTGGTTGACAGCGCAGGTCTTGGGGGCTGGAGGGAAGCCAAGGCAGAGGTGGATCAGCTACTCAGGCTTGGTCTAGAGAAAGGCACTTTGCCCCTTCTGCTTCACAGGGCTCAGAAGGACTCGACAGGCACAGCTGTGCATCTCCTGGAAGACCTGAGGCAAGACTAGCAGCCCTATTTCCCAGGTGGGAAGGCACAAAGAACTCCAAGTGGGACCCAGGAGTCCTGACTGTCCACACCCCACTTCCAGGGGCATTACACCCAACTCACTCCCAGATTCTAATTCCAATTTCCTCCAAGATGAAACCACTACTCCACCTCTAGTAGGGAATGTGGACGAGAGCCAGGGTCTCTGCTCAGACCAAGCTCCCCATCATTTCAAGCTCTGCATTCAGGTCATGCCAGTTAATCCTAGCTTCAGCCCTTGGCCCCCGACACCTGCTGGAGCCAGAAACCCAAAGCAAAAACAGTACAGCAACTTACGGCAGTCCAGCTCGTCAGCACCATTCTGACAGTCCTCCTGGGAGTCACACTTCCAAGACATAGGGATGCATCGATTGATGCGACCTCCACAACTGAACTCCCCTGGCTTGCATGATACAGATTCTGGAGGAGACAATGAAGAGGGAAAAAAAAAACAACCCTCCTTTAATAGGTCCTGCTGGCAGGGGCCCAAGAGGCTGATTTACAACAGCTTCTTTGGGCCTAAGGGGAACATCAGGGGACACTACTTACGGCAGGTTTCAAGAGACTCGTCTGAATGATCGTGGCACTCGGAACGCCCATCGCACACCCACTTGTAAGCAATGCACTTTCCGTCCCCACACTGGAACTCGTTCTTGCCGCATTTGTCCATTTCTACAAGATCGGGGACAAGAAGCAAAAAGATCAGTGTTGGCTATGTACGTGGGAAGAAGTGGGCTCCCTTGGAAAAGCAAATCCAAGGCTGAGGTTTAGTTGAATCAAGCCACATGCCACAAGACAGATAGCAGGGAACAAAGCTGCATGGGCAGAGGTGGACTAGACCCACTAAGCCAACATCATCTTAGTGAAATTCTAAATTAAACCACAGAATGTTTGCTCTTCTACAGCAGCAGGAAAATTTGGGATAATTCTTTTCCAAGCTTCTGTAAAATCAGGACTTCTCTTGCTCTAAGAAAATGGATTTCATTTGGACTGATTGGTACAGTTCACCAGAAAGTACATGGATGTGGCCCAAACCCAGTTTGTTGGCAAGGAGAATAAGCATAGGTATCTTCAAATTATTATAGCGAGGTGGTTATCCTCACATCACCTGAACTACCATGGGTATAAGGATCTGGATAAGCACAAGATTGTGCCTCTGCTTGCCATTCAGAGGAAAGAGACATGCATTCACCAAATACATTCTAAAAAAACAATTTTCAAGCAGAAGTTGACAAGACAACCTTCCTTTCTGGTACTTGCTGAAAGACATTCTGGAGTTTCCCCTTCAATAATTTTCAGTAAAAGGTTATGGGGAGAGCTAAAATGTTGAAGCCTCAGCTAAAAGCAGGGAGAAGTTTGTTTCTCCAAGTACAGTACAAGTGGGGTATCTCTCCATGGAACACTGACAGCACTCCCATAAGAGTATTCAGTCGTTTTGATTTAAGTTATTAAGGCAATGCATCTCCAAGGCTCTAAGCACCCAGCACAGCATTACTGAGCCAATTGAGTCTTGCATCATCTAAGCAGCGAATTCAGAGGCACCCAAGCAGCCAGCCACCACAAAGAGCTGTCCTTAGTGTTCCAAACTGACTGTGAGCTTCTTAGCTCAGGGACTTATACAAAATTCTCCTGGTTAGAGTGCAGCTCAGCATACCCAGTTTGAGGGTGGTTTTACACCCCACACCAAGCTTGACTGCTGTGACTACACCAGCCCCTAGCTGGTCAGTTTAAAGCTAACCGAAGTATATCTATGTAGTCAACAATCATAGCCTCTGGAGTGCTTCATCTATATGAACACTCCAGAAACCACTCTTCCCAGTCTTCCCCAACTTATTACAAGGAGGGGACCCAACTTAAGCAGCTTAGCAATCACAGCAGGAGCAGCAGGCTTCTTTTCCTATGCCAACCTGACAGGGGAAGCAGGAGGAAGGAAAAAGCCCAGCTTAATGGAAGGTATGCTGACCACAGTAATCCAATTATCACAGCACCATGCCAGTCACTTAGGAAACCTGACTGGAAGACTAGCACTGATGTTTTGCATTGGGGAAGTTGAATGGCTGGGTTTGCCAGAGGCAAGTGGATTCTTACAAGATACCTACCCCCTCCCTCATTACAGTGAGACAGCCAAGGTGTTTGCGGCGAACATTCAATACTGGCCAAGTGCATCTAAAAGACAGGTGGGGGTGGCTGGGGGAATGGGTGAGGGGGTCTTGCTTTGTAACTTGCCCTAGCAAACAAGTAGTTGCCCAAGAGAGACAACAAATATTACAAGTCAGATCCAAAACTACTAAGTGGGAATCTTTTTAGCAACATCACCAAGTGAGCTTTGGACCATCTCCTAAGAGCCTATAATGATTTAGTAGCCTCTATTTCCTCTGTTTAGTAAGTGGGCATCCCTGCTATAATGGAGTCTCCATTCTGAATCCCAGCAACCAGACAGGATACTTGGATGTGCTCACTGATGCCATAAGAAGTCTGGGGAAGGAAGCAGGAACTTCAGAATGACAGAAAGAGGATCCAATGGGTTTAAGTGTTCACAGCAAGAGGGAAGCAAAAGAATGTAGTCTGCTCTAAAAAAAACCCGGGGGATTTTTGCTCCATTGTTGCAGTTTTTTTTGCTATCACTGTCATACAGCACAAGTCGCATTTCACACAGGTCCAGAAAAATTCTGGCTTAACTTGTGACCATCTGCATATCACAGCTGGAGTGGGTTTCAGGAAGGGGGTAATGGTTTGTCATTTTCAAGTGGGAACAATGAGGTGGGAGAAGACGGGAATTACAAGGAGCAAGTACAGCTGAGCAGAGAGGACAGTGAGCACAGACAGGCTAGGAAGGTTAATCACGGCAAGAGATCAGAGGCAGAAGCTCAGGAGCCCACCAAGATCAAAAGGAAGGTCTTTTTACTGGTGTCAGATCTGGCTATGGAAGGGCTCTGCTAGGAAATGAGTATGATCACTGTAAGCAGAGCATTGTAGTTCTGCCAACCTCTGCTATTTTATCATGAGCTCCGTTCTGCTGGAGGGCCTTTGTCAAGGCTCAGCTCTCGAGTCACCTGATTTAAATACATTTCAGCTTTAAACTTTAAAAAAAAATTTTTTTTTAACCCTCTGGCTCCCAAGGGAAAAATCCTTCCACAAAGTTCCAGACTTCTTCATCAAAATGATAGGGGAAAAAAGAAAAAGAAAAACCATGATTTTTAAAACCAAGCTATTATCTTTGGCAGACAAGGTTCTTTGGGTGAATATAATATATTTTATTAGACCAACTTATATAGTTGGGAAAAAAAATTATAGCAAGCTTTGGGTTTAAAAAACCCTTGGTCAGGCTCAGAAAGTCTCTGCAGTTGGTGTGTGCTGTTATCTTTGAGCACTTAAGGATGAGGCAATAGTTTCAAATTACAGGGATTTCCCTGTTACAAGAAGAGGGTTACACTTCACTGTGACATTCAGAGCAGAGGAAGAATAGCTCAGTCAGGGACTACTTTTACTAGTCATATCCCCACCTGGTACGGAATAGCCGAGGGAGCGGCTCATGACACATCAGGTGAACTTCCAGACACCCTTCAGAGCCTAAAGGATATCCCAGCCCTCCCACAGAGCACCACATGAGAGGCCAAGCTCTGTTTCCCTGTCAGCTGCTTTTCCTTTTGCAAGGCAGGAGTAACCGCTATGTTCCAGCTGACTCAAGGCCATGCCTTATGCACACCACACTTGAGATCAGGAGGCGTGCACCTCACACATTTGTCACTGTCATAGACATGGTGTGAGGAGGAGTCAGAATCACACCACCAGGCTTGAAGCCCAGCCCAGCTATTAATCTTCAGAAACTAGCTCCTGATGGGTGGGCCTGGATATTGTTACCGCCTTACAAAAAAGGCAGCAATAAGAGTATTGTTTGCTGGCCCAAGCTCTGTGCAAACAAGAGGCCCCATCAGAAGATTTAGCTATAGCAATGGGATCCTCAGAACAACAAGGATATCCTCCTTTGCCCCACCTTAGTTTTATTGTCCAATGCTAAATCTCACTGTTTGTGCAATTATGGCAGAATCCCCTTTTCTCTTTAAGTTCAAATTTGGCAATACTCAGCTTTCTTGGAGCACTTGTAGTTAGGCTTCCCATTAAAGGCTAGAGAAAAAGGATTGCAGATCTGTGGATCCTTTCTGCAGTGGAAGTCTTGGCCTTAATGATATGGCTGTGTATACTTGGTGCCCCACTGAAACATATGAGCAGTGCATGTTTTTCTACCTAGGTGGAAAACATGCACCTACATCAGGATTTGAGGACTACCTACATCAGTGAGGATTGTAAGCAGAATGTAATGTGGGGTGGAAGGCAATATTCTCAAGAACTACTTTGTGAAGACCACTTTAGTCATCCCACTAGACCGCTTTCACTTGATTGAAATGTTGGGTCTACAGAGAATTATGTTGGTTTTAACAACTGAATGGACACTGGTAGCAATTATGCCTATTTCAAAAGCTGACAACAGATAGGAAGGTTACATTTGTTTTAAACACACACTACCTTCCTTTCAAAAGGTCAGATTACTTTTTTTTTTTTATATTTGTTTTTACCATCAGTCAAAGAAAACATGTACTGCCAGCTAGTTGGCTCTTCCTTTTATCATCTACTTACTCATTATATAAAACAGGAGCTGGACAGTCAAATTGCCAACCATTTAAATGTTTTTTTGCTTCAGCTACTTAAAATTTGGAGGTTTCATTTGCTGCAATAGTAGATATACAGACAGATTTTTTTTTTTTATATCCAGTTAGAATCTCATATAAAGCACCAGTGCGCTAGCAGATTTCTATCCCACACCCAACACACTTTGTGTTCTGCTACAGAATCCTTTTCCAGTGACTGTACCATCCATTTATAGATGCTTGCAGCCACT